TGTGTTCAATTCTTCAGAACACAGGATTTTCTGCAAAAGTTTCTGTAGGCTAGCTTTCCCCATTTGCAACATATATAATATATTATATATAATATAATGGTAAAAAGCAAAGTTACTTGTTTATTTTGCTACGCTGATTTGGTGTGGTTTGAAAAATGGTAAATTCTGAGATAAAAATTTTTTGAATGATGATGTAAGATTTTTTCCTCACAATTATTTTGCCAAAGTAATGGTATTAAACATAACAGAGTCAAGATTTCTCTCACAAACTATTTCCATCTACTGATTAAAATAGTCATTTATCATAAGAAAAAAAGATTGTGGCTTTTTTTTTTTTTCTTTTTGTACTGGGGATTGAACACAGGACCTTACACTTGGGAGGCAGGCGGTGGCACCACTGATCTAAATCCTAGCCCAAGAGTATGGCTTTTACTTTCAAACAACAGAGTGGTTTTGCTCAAGGTGGCAGAGAGCTGGAAACAATTCAGTCTTCCAGGTAATGATGTGAAAGAGCCATCAATATCAATTGCCCAAAAAACTCTCCCAACTGGACACTTAGCAGGTTACTGGCTGGAGCTGACTCTTAAAACTACAAAATCTGTTTTAGAAAGCCAAAGAGTTACCAAATCCACTTGGTAACTTACATAAGGCCAAACAGTTCTGAACTCCTTTTATAATTGTTTCCCAAGTACTGTCTTGTTTCCACCAACCAAACAGCAGAATTAATCAAACTACCTAATGTGTTAGTAAATACTTTCATCGAGTAAGGGAAATTTTAAAATTATTGTAATTTTAATTTTCTTATTATTTCCTTTGTGGTCTGGGGATTGAACTCTGGATGGTGAGAAGCTGGTTTCTGAGGTAAGCACTACACTGTTGAGCTAGGCCCTGAGTCAAAGAGAAAATCCTCTTCACCTCCTCCATCCACAGCCTGACGTCACCATTTCTTTTACTTTCCCAAGTGTTTTGGAGCTGCTAGGTAGTAAATTTGAGCCATCAAAACATGGCTGGGAGCTGACCAGAGTCTTATTTGACAGAGGCCCTAAAACTGCAGGAAAGATTCACATCCATTTCCATATGAAAAAGAAACAAGATCTGGAAAGGGAGGAGCCAGAAAAATGAATAATAAAATTTTTCTTCCTCCCAAGTAACAGATGAAAATGTGCACTCTGAACATAAAACTTAACCAGAATTGTATCATCTTCAGATTAAAATCCACTGTACTTATGAGTGATGCTCTGTTCTTTCTCAACACATTTAACATTTCAATGTTTTCTGATTTTATTTTTACAATAAGCATGTTTTTTATATTCTGAAAACAACACATACACTGAAACTTTAAAATAAGATACTAGCATAAAAAACTCAATAGTTTGCATTTTGGTTTATAGCCTCGCAGAGTTTTTTCTTCATGCTCCCTGCCCTAGTCACGTTATTGATGTTATGACAACTGAAATGGAGATGAAGACAGGTTATTCCAGGGACACACATAGACATTTAGCCAAACACATCCTGTTAAAACTCTCAACTTGGCTGCAGAGGCTCTCAGCTACGTCAGTGAGAAGTCTTCCCACCACGTCCTTCTTGCTGTGACCACTGGAGTTGGGTCTTTGGAACTCACCCAGCTCCAGGCCTCATCCCTGTTCCCGTCTGTGCTCTGCCCTAAGATGGAGGGCAGAGCACTCATGTTCTGCATTAATCCCCTTACATTTTCTTCCCCTCTCTTCTGTCACCACACCCCAGAAAAATGTATTAGAGAATAACCAGGATTTTTCCCAAAGGGAAACAATCAGTGAGTGGGTCATAAGGTGAAGCAAATGTCAATCTTCCCTGATGAACTCACTTCCATTCAGAAAATTACACATTAGAATAAACACAGAAAATTCCCTTCACCTGGGAAATTCCTCTTTCAGCCAGTAGGAGATTAAAGGGACTTTTCACATTTCTGAGAACAAAAAGATAATATCAGCTTTTGCTATCATTTAACGAGTGTTTGAAATTTTTATCATTTTATGTTGCCTCAGCATCCCCTTTGCGTATCAGTTGAACCTTTTCACACCAAAGCAAGGCTCAGCCTTCTAGAGCCAGTCTCTCCAGTTCTACCCTTACCCCAATTCCTCAGTGTGGCCCATCCAGCTATTCAACTTACTCAACTTCCCCTGCAGCCCTCTCGAAAGGAGAGCTAATTCATCCTGCATGACTGATCTCACTACACCGCACACCCCACATGTCACAGTGACCACTTCATGCAGTCACTGCATGACTTCCCGGAACTTATGTCTGTCTACTTTAAACCAGCCAGTGAAAACTCCCTCTGGGAAACTTATGTGGATAACATCTCCTATACCCAATAGAGTCACTGGCCCATGGTTCCTTTTCTCTCTCTCTTCCCGAGCACTGTGTGTAAATGGCTATTGGGTATCTCACCATTCTTGGCCCTTTCTGAAGTCTTTCTTATAAGTCCTCTTTCCTGTCTTTACCCTTGCAAAGATACAGTGAATATTCTCAAATTTACAGTGCATGCTGCTGCTGCTGCCACTTGTCCTTAAATGGAAAGGCAGGCTTGTCAAAACACTACTACGTGTGTTCTTGTCCTCTTCTCTCACTAGATCTGGCTCCCTGCGGATACTCCCCAAAGTTAGAGTGATCACCAAAGGTGAACATTTTCCATTGATTCAGGACATCTAGGCAGCCGTGACAGCATAGCTAAAGTTAGTCACAAAACAGAACTTCTAGAACTGCTTTAGAAAGTGGCAAGAACGGTGGGAGAGGTGTGTTCAAAGCAAGGGTTGTTTATGAGAGGGAATGACAATGTGTCTTTCACTGCAATATTTTTAAATTTAAACATTCACTGTGTTTTTTTTTAAAATCACACTCTGTATATAATTAGACAATCTCTCCTTTGTCCTTAGAGTCAAAGCAGTAAATGAGGCCCTTGGTGTGGCAGGCGCCAGCTCTGGAGAGGAAGGGGCCATGCACTGAGAAGAAACACACACCCTGGTTTACTCATGAAGGACAGAAAAACTCCTCTCCCTGCCCCAAACTGTGGTACTGCTTAGGCTGGAGCCTACTCCTATCTCCATATAAACTAACAGCCAAGGGCTTCACCTCTGATACACTGTGCAGCCTGTCTGGCCAACACTTGCCATTGCTAATGTTTTCTTATACTTCTCATTTGCTCATATGAGCAGAAGGAATTGTGGCGGGGGGCAAAAATAAAATCTTAAAATAACTGTATTTTAATCAGTCAAGACTTTTCTTACACCTACCCTGGGCTATTCATTTCCTGTGCAGAAATGTGTTCTATTTTAAAAGTGGTTCGTTTTCAAAACCACACCCTGATTTCCAAAGTTAAAAAGTATTCAGATTCAGCTTAGCCCAGTATAGCGACTGTCCACTGTTCTGTTTACTTAGCTCCACCTCATTCACATCAAGCTGGCTCACATGGCTTTCTTGAGACACAAGTGACACTTTGGAGCATGAGCTATAAAGTTACCACACGATTCTACAACTTTTTATCTCTGCTCAAAGAACAGCCATGCCTAAGAGAGAGGCTATTTCTTTAACTCAGATCCTGGAAAAGGGAGGACACACAGAATAGACCCATAGCCACTGTACAATATAAGTAAGAAATTTTCTCATTTGCAAGCCACAGCATTTGGAAGTTGTTTGTTACTGTAGCAAAATCTAGAGGATTCTGGCTACTATATTCACTAAAGCCTATTTAGACCTCACTAATCAAAAACTTTATATATTTGCAATTTTGTCTGTCTTGTGCTCTGAGTATTTTCAAGATTGTGGTACACAGTGCATTAACCATTGCTATTCTCATTATTTCGTTATGTTTTATGTTTTCATAAAGTAAAAGATTACTGAAAATAAAGCTTGCAATAATTATAGTCACAATTGAAAGAAAGAAAGAAAGAAAGAAAGAAAGAAAGAAAGAAAGAAAGAAAGAAAGAAAGAAAGAAAGAAAGAAAGAAAGAAAAAGGGATTGAGGCTAGAGCCAAGGCGTCTCTATATGACTGTTACCATTTTTGTTACTCTTCAAATGCAAACTGACCTTGGGCATGTTTAGATCCCTGTAGGCACATTTCAGCTCCCCTACACAACATACTTTTCATCCTAATCTTTTCCTCTTTCTAAACTACATTTGTGAACCAGAGAAATTATGCTTCCTCTTTTTAGCATCACATTCAGAGCTTTTACTAGTTTCAATACCAGCTCCCTTAAATGTCTAGACAAAGGCACTAGCAAAGCAAAATCGAAATGCAATCCTGCCACATCAAACTGGATGCAGATTAATGGCAGACACACAGTTTACTCTTGCTAGTTCCTCAAAACTTGATTTTGTACTTTGTTGTTGTTGTTGTTGTTCCTCGGTCATACAAATCTACATTCAAACCAACTTTTGGATAGATGCATATACTGCTTTTCAGAATGGAAAAAGTTGAATGGCAAACAAGAGGAATATTTATATTCATGAACTCTCTTTGGAAGCACAAACTTTTAGAAAATGCAATAATATTTAAACAAACATAACTGGTCAACTCAATTCCTGGCTGGAATACAAAAAAAAAAGGGGTTGGAAGTCCTATTCATTTCACTAAGAAGCTAGTGGATGATGGTACTGGTAGTAAACTACCAGTAAAGTGTGAAATACTTGGGTATGGATATGGAGTATACACATACAATTATAATTAAATACTAATATTAAATATCATTGTACATACATATATGCCCTGCAGGATTTACTGTGCCCACTATGGTTTCAATTTCCTTTTAAGTCAGTCATTAATGATAAAATTATTCTTTTTCACTTATTAGACACAGAGTTTGTATAGTGTCTTATGACAACTATGTCTCATGCTACCCACAAAGTGTCAGGTTTTAAAGCCAGCACAGCTGGAATGAGTAATTGCCTGGGCAGCAGAGCATGTCTATTGGGTTGCACAGGACGGAGACAAATTGATGTCAGCAAAACAAACATCAAGACTTACCAGATATTGGGTAAAAATGGAAACATCCTCTGTGCTGTTGTCAGAGTTCATTCTCAGCAACCTTCCAAGTCTAGGGGAACTTAGAACTATAAAAGTTATAGTTCTGTTTCCTGCGTTGTACACATCATTAGTCACAGCCTTCAGATCATGAGATGAAAGGGGCTTCAAGGAGCCTAAGGAAAGATTAAAATAAGTACTTAAGTAGAATACATAGGAAGGCCACCTATTAATGAAGAAATGTTTATAGATCCCTGAAAACTCCTTGGAAAACACATGGTTATGAGTGTGGACAACGGCTAGTCTAACTTGACACTGATCCTTCAGGTATCTATTTCTGGGAATGATATGTTTCCAGAAATCTCAGAGAAACAAGCTTCTTACCACTCCTCTCTCCAAGCCAAGGCCTGGGTGTCTAACTGATCCCTAGAGAAAGCCAGCAATGGCATGTGGGTCCTGCTCAGCTCAGGGTATGTAAAGAGAGAGCAGCTTGGGTAGTGCTGAGAACATAAGACACAGCCCCCTCCTCTTGAGCCGCAGAGATTTGTTCTTCATGAATGTGAGGTACCTTCTGAGGACCCCATACCTGCATGTTTCATGAACCTTGTGATGAGCAACAGCCCACGTGAACACCAAGGCAGTGGGAGGTTGTGGGGGCAGTGACACATGGGTTTTGACGCTAATGTGGCCTCACTGGTAACCCAAGGCCAAAGAGGCTTGGGCACACTCAGATTAGAGCAACACTCCGTAAACAGTCTGTGGTAAAGGATCAGTTTTTCCTTTCTCGTCCACTGTGGACCAATATATTGTAAAATACAATAAAAATGTCACAGCAACATCAAATTACTATAAAAATTTGTAAACACTTTCACTTACTTTCCATCGTCATCAGCTCACAGACTGGAAGGTACATGGATCATACCTATAGGTGCACAGAATCAGAGTGAACATCCCCTCCCCTTGCAGTGATTGGGAAATATCCCCAACCTTGCAGAATGAAAGGCCTGAAATAGACTTCCATCCTTCTCCGGCTAAACTTACCTCGCCCCTTCTGTTTTAGTGCTTGATAAAGGGCTTTCATGTTAGCCCTTTAAAGGGTGTCTCTCTGAGTAGGTACTAAATGAGTTAATTATGAAGTTAAGTCAACCATCCAATAATAGCTAGGCCTCCTGAATGACATCCTGTTTGTGCTTTCCTTACTCAGTTTTTGTAGTCAGAGAGCAAGGGCCACCAGATGCAGTGTTTAAACCACATAAAGCCTGAGCTAACTACAAGAAAAAGCCAGCTTTGGGTCTGGATAACTTCTAAACTTGCAAAGATTTTTATGACCCTGTCATTGGAAGACTCCATTTAAAATGCCTGAGCCCCTAAGGTAAGCACTGGTTCCTGAGGCTCCTGGGAGTGAAGGTAAGTGAAAGTCAGCCTCAGAAACATATTTCTGCCCCAAGTTCAGAACCACCTTGGCACAAGTTTGATTATTACACAAAATGCTTGAGTGATGCTTGTAATTGCCTCCCATGTTCCTCTCACTTCTTGCTGTTAATAATTTTTGCAGTCATTGGTACTTTCTCGTTTCTGGAACTGGGGACCACAATGGGAGGTCACATCAGGGAGACCAAGAGAATGTTTCTGGGCCTCTGGTCAATGTTATAGTCATAACTGGGGCCCTTCCGGGCAAGGTGGGGTCCTTTCTTCCTACAGATAGATTGCATCTCTTATGTGTGTGGTCTCTTCACACCTCCAGTTCAACTTTATCATTGTCAGTTTTTCTTTGGAACATTTTCCTACAGTACCTTCTTACTTATTTCCTTGTTATAAAAGACCCTAGTTTATATTAACTTGTTCCTTCATCTCCAAGGTTACCATTAGAGATAGGGAGATAAAAGGATCTCTTTTTAAAATATGTTTCTATCCAAAGGATAGAAAATCATTTTCAAAGGATATCTGCACTCTGATGTGTATTGGAGCACTGTTCATAATAGTTAAGATATGGAATGGACCTAAGCCCCTTTCACTAGATGAATGAATAAAGAAAATATGGTATCTATACACAATGGAATATTGTTTGGCCAAATAAGGCATGAAATCTTGTCTGCAGCAACATGAATGGACCTGGAGATCACAATATTAACTGAAATTGGGTAGGCACAGACAGATAGACACCACATGATTTCATCTATATGTGGAACCTAAAAAGGCTGAGCTCATAGAAGTAGAAAACAATATAGCAGTCACCAGAGGTCATGGTGGGTGGAAGAGGTGGGGTGAGACTGAGCAACTGTTACAAAGGCACAGCCAAGTAAGAGAAGGGTGGGATATACTATTACAGAGAAGTGCGATCAAAGTCAACAAGGCTGCATTGCATAATTCAAAATCACTAGGAGAAGACTTTGGATGTTTTCGTTATATGCACAAGATAAATGTTTAGATGATGGATGACCTAAATACCCTGAGTTGATCTTTTCACAGTGTACGGAGGTACAAAGGCATCACTGTGCTCCATAAAGCTGTACAACTACTGTGAATTAAAAACAAAATTTAAAGTTGGGGATTTAGCTCAGTGGTTCCACTGCCTGTCTCGCAAGTGCAAAGTCCCGAGTTCAATCCCCAGTACCAAAAAAATTAAAAACAAAAGCAAAACAAAAAACCCAAAGTTTAAAGATATCATTTCATTCATCTTAGCCTTGTGGAGTACAGGATCCACCCAAGCTGTTGGAGGCGCAGAGTGCTTTTCACTCAGTCAGTCCCTCACTGTCTTTTCCGCCTACTTAACCCATAAGTCACTAATGTTTAATTTCTATTTAGCAGTCACTCTGAGTTGCTCAGGCAGTAAAACCAGTTTACCCTACATTGCAACTGCCTGACAAGCATCTCTTCTTGTCCAGCCCAACTCACAAAAAAGCTAACATTATCCCGTCCCATTTCATTTTAGAAAAGCAGTTGATGTTTTCACCAGTGAGTTCCAGTCATTTAATTAGGGAAGAATTTCTGTGAAGTCCCACCTAAATTTGTAAGCACAGAATAACTGTTGTTCAGCATGGAAGTCCTCAGAGGGCTCTGTAACCACAGCTCTTTGGCAAGCCTTCACTCTACATATACTTCTCAGATTTAAAAAGCAAACCAGTACATTAAAGCCTGTGAGAGCACTTGGGTAAAGAAATCAGTTTTATTCTTCTCGTAAACACTATTTCCTAAACAAACTTTAACCTAGTTCTTCGTTTCATGAAAAACAGCTGCCACTATAACATCAAGTTACAGGATCACATGAGCATGGAAGCTTCATACATTTCTTCAACAAACATTGTTAAGTACCTAATACGTGAAAAGCCCTACAACAAGAAACAGAGATGTAAAAATTGAGCATACCAATCAAAAAATCCAAAATCTGAAATGCTTCAAAACCTGGAACTCTTTGAGCACAGATATGACTCAACCAAGTGGAAAATTCTGAGGGGTTGGAGTCAGAATGCAGACACACAAAAAACACTGCACAAAATTATCTCAGGCTTTGTGCACAGGTGTGTATGCAACATACATCAATCTACAACCCTCAGGATAACTCACTGTATATATCCAGATATTTTTAAAAAACCACTTTTGGTATCAAGTATTTCAGATGAGAGATACTCAATGCACCAAAAAACCAACAAAGACACAGTCCCTCCCTTTTCTTTTATATATCGTGATAATCTTAACACGTGTAGAGTTGTTTCCTTACCATCAAGAAAGGATGTAAGAAACTTACATGATGGTCAAATATAAGTCATACGGATTCAGAACTATTTTTGACTCAGCACAGTCTCGTTTATACCACTCTACTTCGAACTTAATAGGTGACATAATGTCTGAGTTAGGAAATAATGTGATTAACCATTCAATATATCTGATAGATTTCTCCCACCTCTCAAATACATCCTTCTCTTCCTTGGTCTTCACTTTGCAATTAATGCTGCCTTCCCTGGCATGCTCATCCATCCTCATCGGCACTCGACACAATGCTGCTCGCTGTGCAGGGGTAGCTGTCTTGGTGAACCTTCTCTCCCTGTCCTCTGCAGCAGATGAGAATCTATGTACCCACCCATCTGTACCACTTGCTTAATACTTAACATAATATGTTCTTCATGGTTACTGTATTCTTGAATGTAAGTCTCATTTCATCAATTAGCAAGCCCTTACTTACTTCTTTGAGGATTGACGATCTTTTCCTACAGTTCTTGATTATCTCCCACTAAGTCTCGCTGTCTGAGATTTTATGAATCTCTGCTCTATATTCTTCAGCAATACACTATGAGTCCCTTCTCCCACAGGAAACAGATGGCTTATTGATGAGATGTTGCTCCCTCTATATCATGCCAGAGATACTGAAGTCACGTAGTTTGCTAGGAAGACCCTGTGCTCATAGACTGCTTAACTCTGGTTATATGTAAGCTTTTATTCTAAACTAGACCATCATAACAAAACTCTCAGTGTAAATCCCTCCAACATTCAAGGCAATGCTCCTTGAAAAAGAGCCAAGTATAGTTTGGATAAACAGAAGAACTAAATCCTAAGGCCATAGTGTATTCCAACACGCACCACCAAAGATAAACAAAAATCAATGATGGCATTCAATGTGAAAACCTGTTACAAAAATTTTTTTCTGGGGAATGAATCCTGCAGAAATAAAAAGAATATGCTTCAATGAAATAAAAATATATATATATATTATACACACATACATATAGTGTAAATGCATATCTACACATATATATTTAAAATGTGTAATAAAATAAAACAAAACAAAAATATTTTACATAAATGTTTTTATGTTCATAAAAAATTTAATTTAGAACTAGAATATTTCCTATATTAAAATAACTGAGGTAAACTGATTTTCAAATTTGGAAGGGCACAGAAGCCATGGCTAACCTTAAAATATTCACCCCTCTATGTATTCTAATAATTATTTTGGCTTACCATGTAAATTCTTTCAAGTCTCAAGCCAGAGCTACTTTTTAAGACTAACTGCATAGAAGAGCCAAGACAGAAATAGCTGTCTGATGAGCTGGCAAAGAAAGGCTGAATGGTATGGAACCAATGTGAATTTTATAAAAAATTATTTTTTGTTAACTAATGCCAGGTTGCAGTATTTCTCTAACCAAAGTAGATCACATATTTCTACATAATCTTTCTCTTT